GAACCTTCAAAAGGTTCTGTCAAAATTTTTATCCTTTTTTGAGACTTTGAACACATTTGGAGCATTTTGAAAATCTGCAGAACCTTTTCGGAGGGTTCTGTAAACCTCCTTTATTTTTTTCAGAGTACAATGCTAGACACAACTGTAAAATATAGCGAGGGTCGAAATTCAACTTTACAAATAGTTTTATTTACTATATATCTGTCGGTATCGTTACTTGCATTAGTAATTAATAAAATATGAATATATAGGTGTTGATATTTTAATTCATAATTTCTTTACTATTTAGAATTGTCGTATTCGTTATTTATTTCTATAATTTCCAGTCAGAAATGATATTATTCTACCGTGTGAAATCAACGATGATGCTCAAAATTTTTAAATGTAAAGGATGCTAAGTGTTTCATAGTAATAGAAATTATGTCTTATTTCGTGTCAATCACAGCTAACAGATAAGAGTACATATCTAACAAAGATTAATACATTTCTTCTGCTCTAATTATACGGCAATCATCACTATACATTATCTTCTGCGTGGAATAAAATAGAGAAGAATATTTTATTTTTGTTATTGAGATGTCAGTATTGTGGTTGATATTGGACACAAAGATCGTAAAACTCCTTGTTTTCTTTGATTTTCATCAATGTTAGTAAGATCTATTTGCAAGAAAAATATATTGATTTGATCAATTCATCGAACCGTATCTCATGAATAAATGTCATACACTTTTACCATATTAATTCTCCGATCAAATTACCGCAGGAAAAATACGATATTACTAATGCTATATCTTTATTTATTGAATCAGAGTACACACACACACATTCGTTTTTTCTTAAACAAACAGATTAAGTAGAAAAGATGTTTGATAATTATTAAAGGAAAGAATTATAATGTATTCTGACAGCATTCAATAGTTAAATAAATCGATTGGTTCTATTCTGATTTGTTATTCGAACTGGTTGGTGCAAGATGAGGCATTGGAGGATAATTGTGTCTACTCCTACAAAAAGATTTATTCATATTTATATTACGTAAAAATAAAATCGAAAGTAAACATACAACGTAGATTGCGTATTTCCAAATCGCTCACCGGCATCCATACCAAGTGCTCCAGCGCCAATACCGAAACCAACACCACGAATACCAAATTTTCGAGTGTAACATTGTTTACAGTATATATCTCCGTCGTTCTCAGCTAATGTTGGCATTTCTAACATTTTCTTACAAAGACCTAAAGTTATTTCAGAAAAGAAAACAAACACTGATAAAAAATACAAGGGGTTAAAGAAAACTTTACCGCATCTAAAGCATGTTTTATGCCACAATTTACCAGCTGCTGGAACTGATTCTGCATGAAAAGTTGCATGACCGCAACGAGGACATGGAACACTCTCTGCGCTCTTAAATGGCATTCTTAAACGAGAACGAGCATAAATCAAACTACTATTTCAACTGACAATAAGACTTACTTTTATTTCAGTTTTTATATTTGATCGAAAAAAAAATAACAGTCTGAGACTACTTATCAAGCTATATATATATATATGTGTGGCTAAATATCTGATATTTTCTTTAATCATATTTGCGTCTTTTTTTCCGACAAGCAAAAAATAGGTTAGCTACAATACATTAACTTCAGTGTAGAAACAGGTCTTTCTCATTGTAGACTAGGAAAAAAAAGAAGATACTATAGATAAGAAAATAAAAAAAAGAAATCTATCAACATACACTCGTTTGTATGAAGCGTAGATAGTTGTCTATTGAAGCACATACAGCCCAGTGATGCCAATCGTGCATGAGACAATATTTTGTTTTCTTTACTAATTTCCGTCAGTTTTATACGGATACGCTATTTTAAAGAAGCGCAAGACGTTATCGAGTAGATATCCGTTAGCACACGTATAATTAAATTGTTAAAGCTACGTGACGGTACTGTTGATATTTCTATTAATCGTTTCTTAGCTGAAGAATGTAGAAAAAAATAATAATTACCGAAACATCTCTAAAGACAAAGTCATACATGCACAAATTATTTTTTATTTTAAATATACAGTATAAAGATGCTGATTTCATTTTCTTGTTTATATAACAAACAGTAACATTTCAAGAATTCTAATTTCTTTCGCTACTGTGACTCATGATTAAAATTCGTTGCTATTTTAAATTAGGCTTCTCGTGATTCTATAAAACAGTTTAATTAGGTAGTGACAATTCTCATATTAAATATTCTTCAACTCACTACTGTATAATAGACAAAATATTTTGCAGATCAGAGCTCCGCGTGGGACAGGATGGGACGAACATTTTTAGAAAACTGTAAGCCGACAAGAAAGAATCAAAATCTCTTTCGATATGATTCTGTGATATGCATACTATCTCTATCCATTAAAAGTAAGATCATTGTCTTAGATGACTTTTAAAAGCTTGTACTCGCTTATTAAAAATATTTTTGGTAAATTGAACAACATATACCGAAAATGTTTTAAAATATGAGAATAAAATTTGAAAGCGGTCACTTGCGTCAACAAATATAATTTTAATGGATAAAGATAGTAAG